AGGTATTGTGATTTTCATCAAGATCACGGTCATACAACAGAACAATGCAATAGTCTGAGGTCCGAGCTAGAAAGTCTGGCGCAGAAAGGAATGTTGAACGAGTACATTCAGAGAATTGAACAACCACGGTTTGTCAGGGAACAAGGGACACAGCATCAAGGAGTCCGCAATCCCCCAAACAAGTAAGGTGTGGGATATCAGCAGGCCCCACCCCTACTCCCACCACCAGCTAGAGTCATACACATGATTACGGGAGGTCTGGAAGCCGGTGGACTAAGCTCTAAGCAGCGAAAGTTGTATGTCAGAGAGGTTAAGCACCAGAACAGAGCTCAAAAGCGAAAATTTGACGATGCTGAGTGGAAGAATCAACCCATCACTTTCACATCTGCTGATCTTGAAACAGTTGTCACACCTCACAATGATCCTCTAGTCACTTCTGTCACGATCAATAATTGTGAGGTGCAGCGTGTCCTTGTTGACATAGGGAATGCACCAGACATCATGTACTTCCATTGTTTTGAGAGTCTTGGGTTAGATCCAGCCCTGTTGCAGCGGTATGATGGTCCCATTTACGGGTTCAATAACCAACCAGTTCCAGTTGAAGGAGTCCTCACCATGAATGTTGCATTTGGAAGTGGCCGAAGTTATGTGACCCCTTCAGTCAGGTTTCTAGTAGTCAAGATGGCGTCCTCATTCAATGTCGTCATTGGTCGATCCACACTGATTGAAATCCGAGCTGTGGTTTCCCAATCTCACCTGTGCATAAAGTTCCCAACTCCTACGGGAATAGCAACGCTACGAGGCAACCAGGAGGTGGCCCGACATTGCTATATCACCTCGGTAACACAACCTCAGAAGAGCAAGGCTCAGACACCCGAGACTGATCCCAAACAGAGTCCTGATGAACGGCAAGTTATGGGTGTTGAGATAGTAGATAACTGACCAGAAGATGAAACCAGAGCTGCTCCAGTCGAAGATGTGGAGGAGGTACAGATTGATGACAAAGATCCGAGCCGGAAAACACAAATTGGGACTAAATTGAACCAGGAGGAAAGAGCAGAGCTAATAGCTTTTCTTCAAGCCAATAAAGATGTTTTTGCATGGACTTCAGCAGATATGCCGGGAATTCCCACTTCAGTTTTTCAACATAAACTCAGCACCAATCCCCTCAAGAAACCGGTAGCCCAGAAGCGACGCCTATTCGAGGGGGAGAGGTTAAAGGTTATTAAAGAAGAGGTCGAGAAACTCCTACAAGCCGACTTTATCAGAAGGGTAGATTACTGTGAGTGGGTCGCCAATCCGGTGTTGGTGAAAAAAGCAAACAGTAAATGGCGGATATGCATTGATTACACTAACCTGAACGATGCATGTCCAAAGGACTGTTATCCAATGCCAAACATTGATAAGCTGGTTGAGGCAGCTTTGGGAAATGAGAGATTAAGTCTCTTGGATGCATACTCAGGCTACCACCAGGTCCCAATGGCTCCTGAGGATGAAGAAAAAACCTCGTTCTATGCTGGCGATGAGATCTATTGCTATGTAATGATGCCCTTCGGCTTGAAGAATGCAGGTGCGACTTACTAGAAGATGGTTACCATCATATTCCGAGCTCAGATAGGACGGAATCTGGAAGTTTATGTTGATGATATAGTGGTAAAGAGTTTGAAAGCTGACGATCACTTAACCGACCTTGAGGAGACATTCAACAATCTCAGACAGAATAGAATGAGGTTAAACCCAGCCAAATGCATCTTTGGAGTGGAGT